ATGCTCACCTGTCCTCAGCAGCGTCTCATTCCCGTAGGACAGGTACTCCTCTAGGCACTCAATGCAGATTTCCTCCAGGTAGGACTTAACTCTCTTATTCCATCCTGGAATACCGTCCCATGTCCTCTGGGTGATCTGGGCCTGGGGGACGGGAGCCACCCAGGTGAGGGTCTCCTTGTCGAAGGTGAGGAAGGTCCTCCCGTTAAAGCCATACTGTAGAAACCCTCCTTTGCTCCCGTCTCTCCGTAGCTCACAGCCATACATCTGCTGTATTATGTGAGGGCCTGAAATAGGGACAAGATGATGGTTTGGGGAGTCCTCAAGATAGGCAGAGACACGCCCTTCTCCCCTCCCTCGACCTCCCTCCCTGCATTTCCCCCCCAGGATGGAGCCCCTGAACCTCCCCAGGAAAAGGAGAAGCTGGAAAAGACAGCAAAGGATCCCAGGGAGACCCCGAAAAGGGGGAGTCACAGAAGAAACGGAGGGACGGAGACATTTCCATCTTTCCTTCTGCCATTCCTCTGCAGGGGAGACTCTTGGGGGGAAAGGAAGGGATCACAGAGAGGGAAAAAAGTTGCCTGAATCTGCGGCTGCTAAGAGGGACTGAGAATCTCATGACCTCAATGAGGATCTGATCGATCTGCAAAAAAGCTTGCAGGGATCCCTCTGACCATAAATCTTGGTCGACATCCACAAATAAAACCATGTCACAAGGGCTGCTTCCCACTTTGGGCTAACCAAAAACAAACCATGGCTTAGTGCAAAGTGGGAATGAAGCCTTGAAGGGCCACAAAGGAATATTTTCCTCAGCCACAGAAGCAAGTGGCCAGTCTGATCTGGACACCCAAAGGGTTATTGACCTTTGAAGTGAGATTGAAGCTTACGGGCTCTGCAAGGCCCTGGAGAAGATGTTTCAACTTCAAGTGACCAGATTCTTGGATTTAAAAGAAAACCCAATGCTTGAAAAAAAAATGGAAATCCTGAAATGTTTCTACTTCTGTTTGGCCTTGAGAGTGAGGAAGGATGCCAGAAACTCTCAAATCTAAGGGGAAACCACCTGCAAGTAGAATTGAACTAAACTGACCAGTCCTTTCCCTCCCTTTCCACACACAGGAATGACGGGTGAGGGATCCTTTCTCTGCATTTTCTGCTCAGCCTGAGAACTTCATTCCTTTGGAGGAAGAGGAAGATCCTTGTGAGCTGAAGTCTCATCCTGCCCTCGAGAGGAGATTCCCTGATCTCCCCATGGGAAAAATAGTTCTGGATTTCTGCCCAAGAAGAATCTCCTGCCTTCACAGGAAGGCACTGAACATCTGGCAGCAGTTTTCAACTTCTGAGAACAATTTCTTATTATAGTCTTATTTCAGAAGCATCAAAAGCAAAGATAGAAATTGTCTTATTTCAGTCGAAGACGAAACCTGTGTCTGTTCCTCTTTCAAGTTTGCCATAGAATTAAATATTTGTGCTGCAAAAAGAAAGCACAGGGGTCACATTAAAAAGACAAGCTTCATTTTTTTATTATTAGTAAAAGAACACTATTAATGCAAATCTACAGGTCTACGCATGAAACAATTTCAGCCTATTCTTGAACCTGGAGGTTTAGGGCTTCCCTGAGGCCTGAAAAATAGTTTAAGGGTCAAAAGGTTGAGGAAGGTTGCTTTGGAGGGGCTAAAATATATTTATAACTGCCATGAAGAAAATCAGAAATCACTTCTTTATTTTTTTTCTTTATTTTCTTCAATTGTTTCCTTTTCTTGTACTTTTTAATTTTTCTTTGATTTCTTTCTTTGATTTCTTTCCTTTATCTCCTTTATGTAACTTTCTATTAGTTTTTATTTTTTTTCAAAAGGTTTAATACAAATTTTATAAAAAATTTAAAGGGAAACAGGACATCAGCGATCATTAAAATGGTACTGAAAACCCAGAGAGGCTAATGTCACAAAGCCTTAGTGTAAATCAAGGATGCCACCACATCTGGAATATTCTCTGCAGTTTCTGCTCAAAAGACCCCAGAAAAGGACCGGAGGGAGCTGGGGAAGGTCCAGAGGAGGCGACTCAGGCGATGGGAGGGTGGAAGGAGCGTCCCTTTGAGGAAAGGTTGGGACCTTTGGGGCTCTTTAGCCTGGAAAGGAGGCTCCTCTCCACTCTGGCCACTCTCCTTCCTCCTTCCTCCACCAGGGGGAGCCCTCTGGGTCCAGCTCTGCTCCCCTGGGAGGCCAGCAGGGGGCCTGGATCCTGGGGGATCCTGGGGGATCAGGGGCAGGATTTGCAGAGCTCTGGGGTCTCCCTGGAGGGGGGGAAAGGAAAGGGGGAAAGAAAGGGGGGCTGCACCTCCTTGGGGTGAAAGGAGGGAAAATGGCTGATGTTTGTAGAGAAGGTTTTCCTCAACCAAAAGCAGCCAATCGTTACATACAGATTTCATTGCATCCATTTCCTAAATAATCTTCCTTGAAGATGAATCTTGTCCCCACCAAAGATAGCAGAATGGGGGGGATGCTGAAGAAGGCCTCCCCCCAAGGCAGCCCCACCAAGAGGGCAGTGCAGGAGTTCAGCCTGAGGGACCAAGGATGGGAAGCCATGATGGCTCTGAGCAACTCAGAAAGGGCCCCAAATGGAGGATCCTTTCTTTTCTATCTTTCCCCATCAAGATTGGGAGCATCCTGGCCCTGAGCTCCCCTCGCAAAGAGCCCCCCACGCCATTTGGGCTTCCTGGCCTCTCCTTCCAACTGGAGGATGAGAAGAGGCTCCTGGCGTTTGGGCCCCACTCATCCTGCAAAAAGGGAGAGAAGGAAAGAGATCTAGTCTCCCCAGGTGGATCTCCGTTTGATCCCTCATTTCTCTGAGGTGGAAACAGACAGAAGGATGAGGACCTGTTTCCCCCAGGATCTCCTTAGGATCCACTTCCTTTTTTGGTGTGGGATCTGTGATTCCCTTCCTCCCCCACAGCAGGAGATCCACCAAGGTCAGGACCCTCCATCTTCAATGGTGGGGAGGAGAGATTTCGATCTCTTTTTACCTCAGTTTATATCAATATCAGTATCGACCTTCAGATAGATAGATGGACAAATTTAGACATGTTTTTATTAACTGCAGTTGGAAAAAAATGTCAGTTACGGAGAGAAGGACAATCTTATATTGATTTTTAAACAAGAACAAATATAAAAAAAGACTTTTTAAAAGGTTTGCAGGCAGCCTTTCCCTTTGAAGGGACCCCCCTTTCTCCCCCCTCTGATTCCTGGGGAGAGGTATATGGGCCCGGAGGAGCCACCAGACCCATCACTCACCTTCACTCTGATTGTAGTGACACTCCAGGCCATCTCTGAATGCCTTATTAGCGCTATGTAATATCTTGTTGTTTCTCTCCCAGTACTGGAGATCCTTCTTCCCCACCTTCTGAATACAGGAGACTCGAGGCTGCTCCTCCCGGCTGTTGCTCTTGTAGGAATTGATGTGATTATCCACAAACCCCAGAGACACAAAGTGGGGCAGCCTCTGACCGGGCTTCCAGATGCCGGTGGCCAAATACTTCAGGTAGTGGGAGGAGGCGCCTGGAAGGGACCCAGAGGGGCAGAGTTAGGGGGCTTCTGCTCGGGGACCCTGATTCTGTGGGGCACAGCTGGCCCGCTGTTCAGTTCTGGAAGGAAGAAGAGATCGGGGGGGGGGGCAGAGATGGAAGGAGGAAATGGAGGGGGAGATGATGGAAGAGAAAGGAAAAGCAGAGGGTGGAAAGAGGGAAAGACCAAAAGGAGCATCTTCTGGAGGGCCCAAAGGGTTGGAGGGCAGGAAGGTTGGGGGAGAGAGAGGAAGGGAAGGGAAGGGAAGGGAAGGGAAAGCAGGGCCAGAGAGAGACCAGGATCCCCAAACTTTATGTCCTCTCCTCCAATTGTGTCCTCTCCCCTTCCAACAAGGCTTCACTCAACCCCCCCTTCTGCATTGCTCAGTCTCTGCCCCATGGAGGCTGCAGTTAAACATTACCAAATATGGCCATAGAGTGGAGTCAGCTAACAACTCCACTCATTGGCCCAGCCACTGGCGGGAGAAATAAAGTCCCATCAGTGGCTGAAGCCTTGGACAGCGCCAGCTACGCTAGCGCCTGCCACGGCTGAGCGGCTTTTTACGTAAACGTCAATAAAGACATAATTACGGTTCCTGCTGTGTCCTGCCTCTTATTCCCATGGACCCATCTAACACTGGCGACGAAGGTGGGATTCTGAGCAGCAGAGAGAACAAATGACACCTCGTGGACTTCGGATGCCATTTTCCTGGCCTTCGCAACGACCGCAACTCCACCGACTGACATGGCACAATGTTCGACCAACCTGGCACACCGCCTGATGGCTATTCCCCACGACCCGGCGAAAGAGAAATGGTCATCCTACATGGGCCGATTCAACCTACACCTGGAAGTCAACAGACTCCAAGCAGCCCCCAATGTACAGAAGAAAGCATTGTTTCTGACCTACTGCGACATCGAGATCTATGAGATGGCAGATGGCCTGGTCACAGACGACCTGCAGACTGTGTCCTGGGATGAGCTCCAATGGGCACTCAAGGGACATTACGGCCCCTCTCCCTCCTACCTGGCAAGTCGATATGACTTTTATACATGGAGCCAGGGAGAGGGGGGAGATGATAAAAGCATTTGTAGTAGATTTGCGGAGGATAGCGAAAAACTGCAGGTTCCCAGACCCTGAAGGGATGATCAGAGATCGAATCATCCTGGGAACGAAGGACCCCGCACTTCAAAAGAAACTCTTGGCCCGAGAGAACATCTCCTTCAAAGAGGTCATCGATGAGGCACGAGCCGCAGAGTCCTCCAACAACTCGGCAGCGCGTATCAGAGGGACGGGGAAGGTCCATGCAATGGCAACCGATCGTCATCCCAACCACAGCGAATCCGCCTCTGAAGCAAGCGAAGATGATGACGGAGACGTGCACAAGCTAAAGCCAGGCGGGAAGCCCGGGAACAGAGAATGTGGGGGTTGTGGTGGAAACCACCAGCGGTCGGCATGCCGATTTAAAAATACCATCTGCCAAAGATGTGAGGCAACATGGCCGTCAAGGGGGGAAGGCGAAAGACCCCTGGCAGGAAATTTAAAAGAAGACGCTAGGGAGGAAGAAGCCCATTTCACCTTCTTTGGCTAGTGCAGACCCAGGTGAGACACGCCGATGCCTATGAGGCCAACAAGGTAATGGCCACAGTCTCCATCGAGGGCAAGCTTTGCCGCATGGAAGTGGACTCGGGGTCCTACATATCCATGATATCGTGGGACACCCTCAAAAGACTCCAGCCAAAGCTACAGCGAGACCAGCTGGAACCACAGACGATCATACTTAGAGACTACCAGGGCAGCCGCATTCCCATGCTGGGCCGGAAAGCAGTACACATAAAATATGGCAAATTTCAAGGGACACTGTCACTTACAATAGTAGACTGGAATTTGCCAAGCCTACTTGGAAGGGAATGGTTCCAGCCACTAAAAATCACTGTCATCAGCATGCATGCAGCAGAAACCACCCCAGGGGCAGCAGACATCGCGGAACTGGAATTCAACGAACTAGGAATTCAGCGATGTCTTCAATGACAACCTAGGCAAGTATACAGGGACCCCTATTTCATTTAATTTAGACCCCAACATCGCCCCGATTCGCCTCAAGCTGCGATGAGTTCCGTTTGCCCTCCGGCCCAAAGTCAAAGAGCAATTAGATAAGTTAATTGCCCAAGGGGTCCTCGAGTCAGTGGACCACGCCAAATGGGAGACCCCAATTGTCATCCCAGTTAAACCAGACGAATCTATCAGGATTTGTGCTGACTATAAAACAACCCTGAATAAGGCCCTCCAGCAAAGTGCCTACCCTGTGTCAGTAGTACAGCACCTACTGCACTCCCTGGGCAGAGGGACAATATTTGCCAAATTAGATCTGGCCCAGGCCTATCAGCAACTGCCCGTCAATGAGGCAACAGCTGAGGCACAGACCATCGTCACCCACCAGGGCACTTTTAAATGTAAGCGGCTGCAGTTCGGAGTAAGCATAGCCCCCGGCCTGTTCCAGAGTATGATGGAAAGGCTGCTGCACAATATCCCAGGGGTAATATGTGATCATCTCAGCCAGTAACCGAGAATAACTAATGGAGTGGTTAAAGACAGTGCTGGGGAGATTCCAAGAAGCGGGACTGAAATTAAAAAGGAATAAATGCCACATAGCCATCCCCCAAGTGGAATTTCTGGGTTTCCTGATAGACGCAGCAGGCATCCGACCCACCAACGGAAAGCTGAAAGCAATACAGGAAGCCCCTACCACCCAAACCAAAGCTGAACTGCAAGCCTTCCTGGGATTGCTCAACTTTTATAATGTCTGTCTACCTCAGAAAGCAACGATTGCAGAACTGCTCCACAGACTGCTCGATAAGACCACCAGCTGGGATTTCCGGTTTGTCGGCTTCGCGAGCGACAGGGATTTGCGACTCTGCGCGATCCCTGCTGCGCTAGCCATTTTTGGTGCTCCGATCCGGACGGGTTTGGAGCTAAGGCTGCCCTGCAGGGGTGGCTGAAGATAGGGGGGATCCGGAGAGGGGTTTGGGGGTGTTGCAGACCCCCTTCCCGGCCGGCAGAACCCCCTTTTCCCAAGACGGTGCAGCGGCGGTCTGCAATGGCCGCCACAAAGAAGCTGGCAGCCGGGTAAGAATGCGCAGGAGGAAGAGGAGAAAGCTTTTGAAAAGAGAAAGTTTTTTTTGGTTCCCAGGACTCTAAGACATATTTAACATAATTCCTGGAAATTATGGTTTTTTGAATGATACCTTCCAGAAGAGAAAATAAGCGGCAATTTGGAGGTGCTGAAAGGAAAGTTTATTCTCCTTCCCTACGGAATTAACAAGTGGATATTAAGAAACCTGTCTTTTTCAGGTAAAAACTGGCTTTATGTGATAAGTGGGAAGGGAGAGGACTAAAAATATATTTATATGTTAAGATTTTGTTGGAGGAGATGCCTTAAGGATTTGAAGACTGAAATATATTGCAATAAGGCTTTAAAATACAGATTTGGACTTTTTTTTTTTTTGATTGATACTACCCCAGGAAGAGAAAGTGAGAACTTTGCCTTGGCTTGGATTGATTGATGACTTTGGGATTGTTCTATTTTTTTTTAAATATCTTGGTTGTTGCAAGAAGAAAGAAGGGGGAAAAAAAGAAAAGAAAAGATTTATAATGGCTTTTTCTGCTGAGGAACTGAGAAAAGAATATGAGCAAACAAAAAAAATGGCAAAGATGGTGTGAAAGAAGCCTTCTTTTTTTTAGAAATGGCGCTTGCTAACTATCAACAAACATTACAACAGATGGAGGCAGCAGAAGAAGAAGAAGGAGAAGAAGAAGCCATCTTTAATGAATTTCAGAATTTAACTAAGGAAGAAGGAAGAGGGAAAGGAAGGAAAATGAAGGACTTAAGATTTAAAAAAACACTCAAGAAAGGGAAAAATAAGGTGCAAAATCAATATAATGATAGTAAACAAAAGGGAAAGGGAACACAACAGAGAAGGGAAGCCAGTAAGGCAGAGGCTAGAAGAAGGAGGGGTAGAAAGGTCTGGTGGGGGAAGAAAGGAAGGGAAAAGGTGGAGAAAAGCCACAAAGTTTTGAAATTAGATGGGAAAAAAGGAATCTTTTTTAGGGACAAAGGGTAAAGTATAATTTCTTTAAAAAAGATTTTGCAAGGTACATAAGATAGTATTGGTATTAGAAATAGAAAATTAGAATGGTTTAAGAGTTAATAAGAGATTAAAATGTTGAAATGTTTAGTAATGATTGATTTTAAAATTTAATAAAATATTAAAGGGAATGTTTAGAATATTGAGTTTTAATTAAAGAGTTTAATATGACTATGGTATTGATGTTATTATAAAATTTTTATTGTAGCATTTGTCTTTGGAAAAGGCAATGGGAATGTTATAAGATTCAATATTTAGATCTATTGTTTAACTATGTATTTAATCATTTTGGATTTATTATTTTTTGTTTATTGAAAAAAAATAGTAGATAGAATGTACCAAGCAGAATCAGATTGGGTATTAGGTGTTATTTTAAATGTTAATTTGATTAATTTAGGGGGAAGATAGAAAGGCATCATACTCTGATTAGTGATTTCAGGAGAAATTCTTTTTTTTATTATTATTATAAGGAACGAGACAAAGGGATAATAAAGAATGGACAAAAGATACAAATGTAATGACTCAAATTAAGATGGATTAATTAAGATAGAATTAAGAAGAGTGAAATGTGTGGAGAAGCTAATATAGAAGACATAGAATGGTAAATAAAATAAGTAATGACATGTAAGATGAGCATGAATATAATTGAAGTCCATGAAGAGAGAGATACCTGGGGCCAAGTTACTTTCCTAAAAGATTTTTTTTTATGTTTTGTGTGTTGTGTGTTTATGTTTCTGGGAGAATTAATAAAACCTTGCAGAAATATAGAATGAGAATAATGGTAACCAAGTCAGAAAGAAATAGATGAAATAATAATAGTGAAATTGAATAAGAGTAAAGAGAAGTAAA